GTCTCCTTCTGAATCAATACATATCTGGAATCGATTAAAAAGTTTTCGAAAACAGTCACTGTACTCCTTTTGTGGAATCGCATTTAAAACTGCGGTACATTCCCTTTGGATGTCCTGGATGGTGTTGTGACGGTCTCCTTTCATCGCCAACTTAACTTTTGGGAACAAACAGAAATCTGCTGGAGCCAAATCTGGCGAATACGGAGGATGATGAAGGACTGTGATCCCTTTTCTGGCCAAAAAATCGCTCTTCGATTTGTGGGGTGGGGCATTCTCGTGGAGGAGCGACCAGGAACCTTGCTCTCGATATTCAGGTCGAATTCGAAGAATTCTCGCCCACAAACGATTGAGGACTCAGAGATAATAATCAGAACTCACTGTTTGACCTTTTGGCAGAAAACCTCGGCTTTGATGCACGTGGAGCGTCTTCAATGTCCTCCCTGCCGTCACGAAATATAGCATACCATCGAAAAATGTTCGAGCGACTCAAACAATCACTACCGTACACACTTTTCATCATTTCGTACGCTTCTCCGGCGGTTTTGCCTAACTTCAAACAAAATTTGATGTTGGCTCTCTGTTCAACCACCGTTTTCCGACGAGCGTCAGAACAGTACTGTTACATTCAAGGTCAGAACACATGATGCAGCGATGCTTGCGCTTTGAAATTATAGGCAGCCACAGCTGAAACTTCAAGGATCTTAACGCCACAACTCGCCAACAGATGGCATTGCAGATCAAATTAAAAAAAAAAAAAAGTCCCGACGGATCCTGGACACACCGTGTATGGATGTGCGCTTCGTTAGCGCCTAGAAGGCTTGGAAGAATATTATTCACATTCGGTTTTCACGAGTTCATTCGTCATAGGTCGAACAAGCCGAGCGTGCTACCTGCTTCATGATGTTTTCTTGCTAAACTTATTCGTAGACCCTGAAGATGGAGGTGACGTGACCCTCTGAAACGTCGGTTGACTTTAACGAACTACTCGGCGTTATACCACAGAAGACAGAAATTTTAAAGTACAATGTTTTATTATTATTCCTGTCGTTTCTAAATTTCATTATGGTCACATATCACCAGCTTACAATATGTTGTAATAAAGGTATATATTTAAAAAAGCAGTTTTAAGGGACGTTATCTCTAGGGCTTGCTATCACGCGATTGTCGAGCGGCTGTGTGCTGATCATTGATAACACTGATGCCTACGTCATCAGATGCTAAATTTATATCACTGTATTACCATGCAAGAAGCATGAGTTTTAAGTAGCGTATTGTAAAAACAGACCTCGTTCTTAAAATTGTGGGGGCCACGTTTAATTCCAAAGGCATCGTTCTGGTGTACCAGCGTTCAAAATACAAGGCTGATTGGTGTACACATTCCAAGGTCTGTGAACCATTCGTTTTACAATTTAAGAAATGCAACAAAGTTTGTAAGGCCTTGCATATTCATTGCGATTTTCGAGGAAAAATGGAATTAAAATTATTTTGAACTGATAATTCTTAGGACGCAAAGTCCCTGAAAAGATATCTCGACGTAGTAGAGAGCAAAATTGATCGTAGCAGTATTTACACAATAACAATCTGAGAAAACAACACGAAGAGGAGCTTGTTGTATTCTTCATTTAGTAATGAGGCGTATTTCCTCTATGCAGGAACTGTTGAGCCACAGAGACCTCGGGGCACGCGCGCAACGTGAGAGTTGCCGATTGTATTGGCGCGTTGCTAGGCGACAACTCTGTGAACGCTTGGATAGCGCAACAGGATGTGCGTGTGACGTCACATATCCCCACTCATCCCGTCATTACGTAACATTCTGTAAACACCCTTCCCCGCTAGGCTGTGTCGTCACGCAACAGTGGAGTACGTGCAGCGACCGTTGCTAGGCAATCGGTCGGTAAACACGTTCAACAATATAGGCTGTTTTCTGTGTGGTCCACGAGAGGCCTATGTAAGGGGCTTCAATGCGCTAGGCAGTTCAGTTGAAATATAGCAGCCGCCAAAGACAGATGAAGTGACTATAGCACAAGAAGTAATTGGGACACTGAATCTGTGAATTGGGCAAGTGTTGATAAAAGTGTGCCATAAATTCGCTAGATCCAAGACCGACATGAAGTTATTTGTCGCGTCACACAGCCAACATGCCACAATATTATTAGAGTCAGAAAATTAATAAGGTCGAACTGAGCAGGACATGTAGCACGGATGGATGAATGAGAAGTCTATAAATCAATGTAACGGGTACCAAACGTTACAGTCATGTGGTTATGGTTCCGGAGGTCACAGGATGAAATCTTGGCCCCAGAGACAGAGTATCCTGACTGTATTTTTGTGCTTATCTCAGTCCCTCCAGGCAAGTGGTGGGATATTATCTGAAATTCTGCCACTATCGCTCCCTCTCACAACATTTCGATTTAATTATTCACTAATCATCATATAATTCAGCGCTACAGTATAGTTTTAGCTACTGAGAGCGTCGTTAAATAAACAAATAGATTTGGTAGGAGAGCCCGAAAGGAAGAGGTAACTCGGAAGACCTTAGCATAGAAGGGAAGATAATATTGAAATAAGGTATGGGGATGTGGACTACATTGCAGGTGGCTGAGGATAGAGTCCAGTGCTGGATGATTATGAACACGGTAACGGGCTTCAGTTTCCTCACTATCTGTGTGACTACTAGCTTCTCGAGAAGTCCGTATGCGCACGCATCGTATTTCCTGACTACGTAATGACTTCAGTCACAGTTACCTTGGTCTTCGCCGTCTTTTTAGGCATAAATCCTCATGTGGAAATCTGGCGATATAGACTCTTTGGTACATTTGTGGGTTCACATTAACTCGTTCTGCAACAACATAAAAAAGCATATTTCTTTTTTCGTGCACTGATATATGAACCTAAATGAAAAATTAATTCTTTAAATAGTTCAGTCTTCTGAGATATAATGTCGTGTAGTCCGCTGAAAGTAAACCGAAGTTTCAGAGGTGCATATCGCCTCAATCATCAGGGTCGAAGTAAAACCAAGTAAGAAACCAGTGTTCCGCACCAAGTTTCAATGCAGCATGTGGAATTGTAATGCCCTTCAACAACGTTAAGCACAGCGTGCGGAACTACAGGGTGGGCCACACTCAATTAGGCAGTTTTTGATTAGATGTTATTTTTATTGATAAATGTTAACAATTGCAATGGTTACAAAAATGGAATCGCACACACACAAGTCATCGATCTTCAAGATGCTGGTCAACCTGGGCACCACCTAAGTCAACACAGGCTTGCAGACGCAAAGCAACATTTTCACACGCCTTTCTACACATATTCACCGGAACTTTATTGAACTCCTGAACAATCACCTCACGCAGATGTTTCACACTGTCAGTGGGATTAGCGTACACCTTGTCTTTGAGGTAACCCCAAAGGAAAAAGTCTGGTGGGGTGATGTCGGGTGATCGGGCTGGCCACTCCACAGGCCCTCGACGGCTAATCCAGCGTTGAGGAAAAACTTCATGCAAGAACGCCCGAACAATATTGGCGAAGTGTGGTGGGGCCCCATCTTGCTGCCACCACAGTTCATCAAAGTTCTCTCTCCTCTGAAGTTCTGGGATGACACTTTCCCCCAGCAACTTTAGGTAGGTTTCCCCCGTGACGCAACCTTCAAGGAAGAACGGGCCAATAAATCCTTCGACGTCACGCCGCCCCACACCATCATTCCCGGGGACTGGAAATCGTATTCAATGGTGGCACTGGGGTTCTCTGGCCGCCAAAACACGCAGTTGTGTCTGTTGACCGATCCTGATGTGTGAAATTTGGCCTCATCAGTCCAGACAATATTCCGGATAAGGTCAGGATTCTCCTGAAACTTGGTCAGCATCAACTAGGCGAACTCAAGTCGTCTGTCGAAGTCGTCCTCGTTATTGACCTCGTTCACAGCATACCGTATGATGCTGCCATCTATCGACAACAAAAGGTACTTTCCCACTATCCCCTGTGTTGTTGGATTGGTTAGTTATTAATGATCAAAAACTGCCTAATTGAGTCTGGCCCACTCTGTATAATGTTCTTTAGCATAAAGTTAACCTGAACGTGGAACTGTATTGTTCAGTAACGTGAACTGCAGTGTGTCGACAACTTGCACAGGAGCCAGTTGCAAAATATGATTCAGATTTAGTGTAATACTCTTGCAAAGCCAACGTGACAAGGCAAACTGCAAGATACATGGAATATATCTGTCATAGCCCAGCCGTGTTGAAGGGCTACAATTACGACAACATGTGAAATATTATAATTTCATATGCTTTCGTAAGTTCTGTCCGGTCCTACTGTATCTTCTTTCTACATCTGTCTGTACAAAATGGCAGCATAAATCTCGTTGGAGGGGGTGGGGGAGGGGGAATATCCGAGCCAAGTTTCGACAGTATAATAACATCATTTATATCAGAAACATATATTTTCAAACAAATCATACTTTTCCAAACTGAAATCATACCAACATTTACACTCTTCCATTCAGAAATTCGTGACATAACGATGAAAGAGAAACCTATAAGGTAAGTTACATATGAATGAACGTGTGCGTTATTGTCAGACATAGGCGTATTTGCATGTCTCGCAATTTGGGTATAAACCGTTTATGATGCAATAAATAGTAAGGGTCTCCTACACTTATTAGGGATAAGGTATACACCGCTTACTCATATTATTTAAATGTTTTCGGCTGTAATCGAACGAAATAACAATATAATTTCGTAATACAATGTCGTGTCTGCATACTCTCCTACAGACTAAAATTCTGGCGCTACTGAAAGTAGTTCGCAGTATTTCATCAGCTTCACGAAATTTCACTATTGTAACAATGTTTAAATCGGAATTAACGTTATGCGATGTGATTTTTTAAAATAATATTCTTCCCCAAACGATGGATAGAACGAGATAATGTCACAAAATGACGACGCGGAAAGTTACCAGCAGCTAGCGGCCCCACTACTTCATGCTGTAGAGAAGTAGCTCACTGCTCAGTTGCACAATGGCGTGTGTTTGTGATGCTCATAGCTGTGGAAGCTGTTTCTGAGCGGGGACCGGCCCAAAAGTTGGCCAGTCCGGAAGACGGAGACGTTGTCGCTAGGGTCAGACGAACATCCCTCGTTTGTACAGACGGTCAAATTTTGGAACGATATCCACTCAGGAACAAGCTATTACAAGGAAAAGGTTAGTTAAAAAGAGAACGCAGATTTTTACATTTTATACCTCGGATTTTAACCATAATTAGTAAATATTTTATTTCACGAATAAGACATTTGTTGTACATTATTGCTGTAATTAAGGATTACTCGTGACGAACTTGTATGTTCATTTCAATACAACGTTTCATTCAGTTTTTAATTTGGTATCGATCTTTCTAGAAGAAACGTAATGGGCAGTATCGATCTTTCTAGAAGAAACGTAATGGGCAGTATCACAAGGCCCTAACTGCTTTTATTTTGCTGAATATAAGCAAAGGGCAGTATTTCATCACTGTTATTGCATACATCCAAGTTCCGTGACTGAATAAAGTATTGATTTAAACCTCTGCGCATGCTTTCTGGCGCATATTTTGAAACTATACCGACTAGAACGAAAGGCGTATGATGTTACGTTTTAAAGAATGTACAGTAATTTAAAGCCACATCACTAATTTAAGGTTACTTTTATTTCAGGAAGAAACCTGGCGTTCCAAAGCACTGTCGATGTGATTGATAGAAGTTACACCGGATACTGACGCCGAAGTACAAACCAGATGTGGAACTGCACAGATAAGCTCTAGTGTTTGAAGAAAGAAGGAAACGTGTTAGTGAAGAGTGCGCTTTGCAATTTACGGCCCTAAAGTTGTAAAGTGGAATACTGAATTAGTGCAGCGATTTGGCATACCCGCAAGTGTTGTAAGTGTCTCGCGGGAAGAGAGGTACGTGTGTGACTGTGCGTTATCAAAGAAGTGAAAAATAGTTTGACAGAAGTGTAGTGAATTTAAATCAATCCCGATGCAAGTTGAAAGACCTACATCTATTACCCTCCTCCACCTCCAGCTGACGAGGCATAAAGATGAACAGATTATTCCAGAAGAAACTTTGCAGCAGCGACCACAACATGACAGTGGTCTTGTTGGAGGTCCTGCTGTAGTTGTCGGCGATGGGGACTGTGATTTGCTTAAACCTGGGACAGACCAGTTACCTTTTCAACAGCAACAACAGAAAGAAACTGTGTGTGAAAATCAGTTGTATCCAAATCTAAAACCGTCATCACCTCTTCCATCTTCATCACCATCGAATAAACAATTCTCAGCCTCTCTTCTGGGTAATAAGTACCTGATGTTAGAATTGGTAGAAGGGAGCACGCTCTTCAGATGTGTCAACGTTCATACAAAAGAAGAATTGGTGTGTAAGGTAAGGCCATTGTTAATATTGACAGCAGTGTGATTAGTTTGCACTGTGTGTTTAACTATCTGTACTGTTGCATTAGCGAGGTTGGTTACTTATGGAGCTCATCCTTTCTTGAGGAGAAGCCAAATCTGCAGCTACTCAAGAATTTTCCAGCATTTTCTTGACCCCGAAGGTTCATTACCGTGTTCACCAGAGCCCTCCACTGGTTCCTATCCTCAGCCAGATCAATCCATTACATACAATCCCATCCTGTCTCTCCAAGATCCATATTAATATTGTTCACCCACCTACGCCTTCGGCTTTCCCACCAATATCCTGTATGCATTCCTTTTCTGCCCCTTTCGTCCTAGATGCCCTGCCCACCCCATTTGCATTGCATTTGCGAGGTTAGATTATATAAGTCAATGTGATCTCACGGATATTTTCTTTCAGTCAGAATTATTGAGTAAACAAGTGGTCACCGATTTGTGTATCTGGTTATAAGTAATACAAATGATTATCTCCCTGAGCTTTAATTTTGCCTAGGATATTTTTTCCTTCTAGTAAATCTGACAGTATTGTATGATTCTGCTGCAAAATTGATGGACCAGAACTGCATTCTTTTCTGTGACTATCCCATTTTAATACACCACCAGGGAGATGGACGCGGGAAAACTGAAAATCATATAAATCATACAAATCTTCACAATTCTCATATCGTCCCCAACATTTTAGAAAATTCCGCTTAGTAGGCCTTAGCGTGTTTTTGTGCGATATTTACATGTAAAGCGCAAGGAAGAGAAGGAGAGATTAATGTGTATCTCCTGCTAGCAGAGGAGACATGCCCGAAGGCCGGTGTCAGTGCGCAGTTTCACGCTGAGAGATGATCGGGAATACGGATGTATCACCGAAAATTTAATTGTGTTCACATATGTCGTGTCCACAAGCAAACAGGTGAACGGGTGAATAGCAGATAAGCCCGTATATAATAAAGTCAACAGATATTAATGTAACTGTTTTGATGACGAGTCTCTATCAGTGAAATGTTTCCAAGTGACGTCATAATCTTCCCAAAACAGGCGATTTCATTTCCATGCTAGAGATACGACTCGAGCGGAAGTCGTCACTTGCATTGCTGTGCTTCTGAGAAGACAGTGGACTAAGAACGCTGTTGTCTGATGAATATAACAACCCTAACCTTGAGCCGGCCGCCGGCAGACTGGTCCGTCAGCCAGCCAGCCAGCCAGAATCCCACGCCTGAGTTGTGGTATAGGCTGCCTCTCCGGCTGAAGTACGGCCAGTTATGCTGAAACATACGTTACTATCCCCACCCTTATAAGGGTTGACCATTTTTTTTTGTCATAAGTAACGAACATTTGGGCGGACCTCATCAGTAGGTATCACATTAGTATTCAAGTTACAGTAACGTTTTATAACTAGTAAATACGCGGATTTATACAAGCGTTGTAACTCATTACCATCGGTATACATTTACACTTATTGTTTATACAATTTGGGCATTTAGAATAATTCTTAGACAACTTTTTTAACGATGCTAGTCCGTGGAGGCCCTACCAAATCATATTTATTGCTAGGGTACTAAAGTAAAATTGTCTCTGTGCTCAATTAATTAAGCATCACGACTAAAGTTGTTTGAAGGAGCGTTGGTATAGCTCCACTGTTCTTAAACTCGGCACAAGATGTAGATGAGTTGTCAGCTTTATGCCCCGGCCGCTTTAACCCCGGGGATAGAGCCCCAGGTACCCATTGGACCAGAGCCAATGTGGGCGCTGTGGAGCAGAGAAAAATCTCCAGCCCCTTGGTGGGAACGGAACCTAGTCCGTAGCCTGTCGCTATACCGACTGAGCTATTCCTTGTTAGTTCTGCCAGTATTTAATAGGACATTCTGGCTTATAGCAGTACATGTATTTGTAATAAGCATGAGGCACACCTATGGCGCCAGTATCCATGTAGCTGAAGCGTCACTGAACCCATTACTACTACACCATCTGTTAGCGATTATTTTAAAACAAATTGTAAGGCTGATGTTTATTGAACACAAGTAAGGGAATACAAAGGAAATAGACGCAATTAAACATGCGAGTGTAGCCAGAAGAAAAAATATGATTAAAGCAAATTGTTGACAATAAGATGTGAAGCAAACAATGGCCAACTGGGGAAAACTAATTTCCATCCATTTAACATGATCCATGTTAAATAGGGCACGTTTTTAAACAACTACACATAAAAATAAAAAATTGGAAAACGTGGCCCAGGATTGGTTGTATTTATTTTACATGTTAAGTGTTCAGTGAGGGCATCCAGTGTATTAACGCTGGCGCATGTTCACAAAACCAGTGTACATTTAAACAATTGCTCCAGTTTTTATCCCTGAAATAATCCCTAAGGCTGGCGTGCGTTCATAAAATTGACATTTCATGTCCCTGAAGTTTGTTTCCTAAAAGTTGTTGTAGGCTCACAAAATTAGCAGCCATATTCTCGTATCCCAGAAACACGCCATAGTTTCATTTTGTCCCTAAAATGTAGCACGTTTCCTAAACTCTACTGTATGTTCACAGAAATTGCTATTATTGATCCCCAAATACAGTATGTTTCCATAACACTAATATACGCCCAGGAACTTGGTATGTTTATACCTAAAAATGTTTCTTAACTCCTATTGTACTTTAACAGAAACTGGCATTTTATGGCCCTGAAATACAGCGTGTTTCTCTACCACCCGTGAACTTTTACAAAATATAGGATGTCCGGATGAAAGGTATCCAAAATAAAAAATGTATATCTCGGAAACTGTCATACATGTATCCGGTTTGTGTCGTCGGAAAGGAAAAGTCTGAAAATCTTTTTTTTTTCTATACCCGCCTTACGCGCATACGCAGCCACATTTTTGCCACCATGTTAGGAATCACCTGGACAGAGAGATGGCTGGGATATAAATTGGCAGAGGTGGACCACTCGCTTGGCCTACAAGGTCGCCGGATTTAGCCCCAGTGGATTTTTCTAGTGGGGTCATGCAAAGAACATTGTCTACCGGGTTAAGATCAACGACTTTTAACACCAGAAAGCCCGCATAAGGGACGCTGCGGCTACGGTAACACCAAACATGCTTCAAGTATGGATATTTGTCGTGCCACCAAGGGAGCCCACATTTAAATTTGAGAAAGTTATATACGCAGAAAAAACTTTGGTAGTTTTTGAGGGTGTTTGAGAACAGGGTGTTGAGGAGAATATTTGGACCGAAGAGAGATGAAGTGACAGGAGGTTGGAGAAAACTGCACCGTGAGTAGCTTCATAACTTGTACTCTACGCCAAGTATAATTAGAAGGATCAAGTCAAGGAGGATGAGGTGGGCAGGTCATGTAGCACGAATGGGGGAGACGAGGAATGCGTATAAGATATTGGTGGGAAAGCCAGAAGGAAAGAGACCACAGGAAAGACCAAGGCGTAGGTGGGTCAGAGAGAGATAGGATGGTATGGATTGGATTGGATTGATCTGGCTTATGATATAGACCAGTGGAGGGCTCTTTTGAACACGGTAATGAACCTTCGGGTTCCATAAAACGCTGGGAAATTCTTGAGTAGCTGCAGAATTGGCGGCGGCTCCAGAAGGTCTCAGCTCCATGAGTAAGTAAGCAAGTTTCTGTTTGCAATGGCGCAATCCATTAATAAAATCTTTATGAGATATAATGATTTTATTTTGGATACCTTTCATATGGACACTCTGTATAGCATATTTCCTTCCTTTAAGATGAGACCTGACGCTGTACAAATATTTATCACCAACGCCATGTTATGACGTATGTTTACATATGAATTTTAGTGCTTTGTGAAAAAGTTTGAACCGATGCCCATCAATTCGTCTCTACCGTGACCCCTATGCTAAGGTTGCTCAACTCTTATACACCCAAAACGCAAAACTCGCTAACCCTAGCGAGTGACGAAGCTGCGCTGAATTTTGGAACGGTTAGTAGTTGCAGTTTCGCGATATTTCCTAACATCCCCACCCTTCCCTCTTCATTGCCAACACGACGCATGCTCAAAGCAATACTTGCAGATCAACGTGTGCTTTCGTATCATTACAAGCCTGCATGAATTGTGCAAAGCTAACACATGTGAGTAATACCAGCTTGTTAGGCAAGCGTTGTACACGGGGCTAGAGAAAGAACGCTTCACTGTGTTGTTCCGTCACGCCATCTCGGTAAACGTTCTAAAAGAACACTACTGATTTTAAATTGTTGACGGTTACAAGTTGGATTTTGACAAAAGTGCGTATTACAGGAAATTCTAATGGAGAATTAACGAGCATTGCTGTAGTTTTATGTAGTTTTAGTTACCCGTTTACCAGAGGTGTCAAAAATTCGATTCTGCTTTCCAGAAGTAGGTTTATGCGATCTCGATCCTGCCTCTATGACTGTGTACTCCCCCCCCCACCAATAATTTTCGAATGCCTGAACCTCCCTTTATGAAACTTGGTATGTGTATTGTGGCAGCTGAGCCCATCTGAACGACGTACTTCATAAATGCATCCCAGCAGCGTGTCTGTATGGGTCCCTCTTGTGGTTGCAAGGCAACGGCTCGGTAAACACGTTCCCGCTGCAACGAATACACGCAACAGTAGGAGAATTGTTGGACGCATCTTTTCCATACGGTCCGTGCGTTATCAAAGGAGAGTCTCAGGGGCTGTGTATTCCCCTGTCGTTGCTAGGTAACAGTTCGGTAAAGACGTTTCCGCGGCTGCGAAGAATTGTTGGAGGCTTCGTTTTCTATGTGGTTCGAGTAATATCAAAGGGAAGTAGGCGACTAGTTCTTATTAGAACTCCTTGCCTTTTTAAAAAAGGAAACTGGCAATTTATGAATCGGTTGTGCCTGTATGTCGCTTGCTAAATTTAACACGTGCTTGGAAGTCTCAACCACCAAAATTACTATCAGTGACATACAGATTCGATATATGTATCTTTCAGTAAGAAGACCACATAGCGGTAGCGAAACCATCAAAGACCTTG